GTTTTCAGAAGTTTCCAGAGATCATTCTTTGTGAATCGACTGACTTGATCAAAATGAAAATTTCATCCAGTGGCCGAGACTGAACTGAAAATAGCCTTCAACAATTGCAGTTGTTAAAAAGCGGTCACTGAACAAATCAAATCAGGAAGTTCATAAGAGGGTTACTAATTTATTCGGAAAGCTGCAGTTCAGCACAGGGTACGAACACGCCACACCAAGTACTAACGGACCGTAACAACACGATGCGGACTGTCAGGGTTGTGTTTCTGCTGTTTGCTGTTTTACAAGGTAAGGTGGTTACCCGACATGATTCCGTCTTCTCCGGTGTCGTTGACGCTTTCACTTGTGAACGGACTCTTTCCCTGAATGTTATTTTAAAAAGTTCGAAGTTTAATAAGACTGCCGTATACAGAACACCTTAAACAGTGCCGCGAAGACACAAAAATGGCTAGACGCACATATGTCTTGTGGAAAATATGCTCTCAGTCAGTAAACAGATGCACTAAGGTCTATTGATTGTTGAACACCACTGTCTAGACTGATCAGAACAGGCACACTTATAACTTCACAGATAATGTATCGGACAAACTGATGCAAGCGTAATATAGGGAAAAAAAACACTTTTTAACATAACCGAACATTAATAAAAAGAAGCAGTAACTCCTGAAATAACCTGCCTGATACTAAGATAAGGACCTGAGCTTGGAACTTTCAACATCAATAAATGCGTCTGCGGATGATGAAGAATGTGTGATGTGGTTCATTCAGAAATACATCAGGAGAGGTCGATTTAAACAAGGTAACTTAAACAACTTGGTTATGGCGCTAGACTTTAAATCATGTCGAAGTTTGACTCATAAATTTAAACAAGATCGAATGTACGTAAAGCTTGGCGTTTTAATTTACTTAGAGAATACTACAAATGTAAGCAGTGACTTGAGTCTGCGTCCCACATTCGCATTGATACTCAGTCTGACATCTTGGTTCCTAATAACTTTTTCCTCGCTTCATACGCAGGCTGTAGTCAGAACAAACTAACTAACGAATTTACTGGTTTACGCGCTAAGAATTGTCCTGTCAATTACAAAGTGTTTAATGCACCGTATAGAGCTGAATAATGTTGTATGATTGTTGTATAGTTCGTTACAGCCCTCCACATAAGGAAACCATGTTCAAAGCGACACGTTTGGTTTGCGAAGTATCGAGAACCAAACAGCGATGTACT